CATGTAGCACAAAACATGAGTTGCACTCAGTTACAGCGAACTATAATTAATTTGAAAGTGAAAACACCCATCATAAACACTTTCTACGTCGAAATTTATAATATTTTGAATTTATACAATAATGATTTATGACATTTAAAATTTGAGTTTCTAAATAAATTTTCATTAAACAAATCAAATAGAATAAAAAGATGTTTTTAGTGTTTTTACTGTAAGGCACTTTACACATTTTTTCATGTTACTCCTATTCATGGTTTAATCCTATGGTAATAATTGAAATAGTTAAAAATAGATATAAAATTTATACTATAAAAAGTATAATAAGTACAATATTTTCAATGTTTTTAATAGTAAATAATAATTATTAAAATTTTACTTTATTTGTTGAGTATAAGTAATATATTCGCTTCTCTCAGATAACAATATACATTATATTATATGCCACAGTTTGCATAAATATTATCATAGGTATGCATACCACTATTTTTGGTTCATTTATATGTCTACGGTATACCTAATATAGGTCAGTACTTTATAATTAATAATTAATAAGCTATGAATTATGATAATAAAATACGGTATATGCTAGTTGTATTATTGAGTTATATGAAGTTCTTTATGAGTAATATGAAATTCTAAACTGTATAACGGGCTAATTTATAATAGTATTTAAAACTATATTAAATTAATTAATAACAAATTACGATTTGAGAATTTTTTTTGAATTTGAATTCTACTGTCAAATAAATTATAATAATCGATAAATTTTGGTACAAGTATTTTTTTTACTATGACAATAAATTATCAGTTATGGATTTAGCATAGCCATATCCAATAATTTTTAGCAAATATGTGCATGCAATTTCATACATATAAATTATTTAAAAAAATTAACAAAACTATATATGCAGATTAAAAATCGTATCTTGATGATTATTTTTATTTGATTAAAAAGGATAGAACTTGTGTTTGTGTATTTTATTAAAATTTGCAATGTACTTGTGTAATATAAACAAATTATAAAAAATACACCCAATCGTAGAGTTTTATACTATCTTTTGATTTAAACTTCTACCCAGAAAGTTACCGTTTATATACCTTTATCCATCACCAATGTAAGCATCGCGTGTATGTTAATCGATTATAATTTTTAAGTTATAAAATTCGTTAGTCATAACATTATTTTACCTAAATATTATAAAATTAATTAAATCTTTAATATAAACTTGACCGGCCAATTTATGTACAAATTTTCCAACGAAAACTTAACATACCCACTTCACATATCTAAGTATAATTTATCGATTTGTTTTTTTTTTACATATTATCTCGTGTTGCAGTGAAAATATTATTTGTTGTAAGTGTGTTTTGAAAAACGTTAATGAGAATTTAATTTTAATCATTCTAAGTTATGCTTATTAGTTACGTTTATGCATTTTTTTAGTGCAAAATTAATAAAGTATCATAGATTTAATAACAACAACAATTTTACACAATATACTTTATGTTTTTTACTAAAAATTATGATAAAAATATTTAAAAATTTAAAAATTTAATAGGTACAAGATTCTTTTTTAGTTTTTTTTTTTTTTTACCAATAACAGAAAAAAAATTATCGGTAATATCATATTCAATTTTATGATCGTAGTTAAAATTTATTCAACATTGGTTATTATTTACCCAAAAATAGTTTTGATTTTTTGTTGTACTTCAAAAGCTAATAACTGTTAATATCAGAATTTATACCAAATTTTTATGTTAGCATTTTCTACGCAGTCGAATATGGACATGGTATAATTTTATAAATATTTTGACTCTTTTTGAGCTATTTATAAATATATTCTATTTTCTATTTTTAATAGTTTTTTTCTTTAAATATCCATAAAAATTATTTGTCACGTCAAAATTCTTGAAAAATTTAATGTAAAATTCCACATAAGTGCTGCTTAAATTTATATAAAAATACATAAGTATATTTTTTTTTATAAACTTTTGAATTTTGAATTTGAATATTTAAAAAATTAATAATGATATTAATTATTTCAATATTATTTAAAACTTTTACGTATATTAATGTTTTTTATATAAACAACAAATATAAATACATATTATTATAATTAAATATTAATAAATAATAATAAAATGTTTGTTTTTATTTGTAAAAAATAAAAAATCAATCTACCGTAATACTAATAAAAATATGAATAACTTTAATAGATTTATCAAAAAATGTGTTATGAAATATACTTAGTGATATAAGCTAACAGATTATCTGCGTTGAAAATCATTTTTCGTTTACATACTAGTATCTTCAATTTACAAAACAGGAAAAACATTAACAAAAACAGAAATTTTTACCAAAATCTTTTCTTTTTTTTTTTGTAACTCGAGAATAAATAACAGTTGATACTTAACGTTTTCACCAAATGTTTATATCATAATTTTATACTTACGATTACATTTTTAAAATATTTTGACTCTTTTTAAGGAATTTATAAATCCTGATTTTTTTTTTTTTTTTTTGTATAAATATCGATTAAAAATTATTCGTTGGGTAGAAATACTTGAAAATTTAATAAATGACTTTTCATAAGTTATTAATGTTTAATTAAAAAATATCGAAATTTTTAGTCACAATATTTATTTATAATTGTTTAAAGTTAAAATTTTACAAAATCTTAAAAATGTATTATGCATTATTTTGTAATTAGAAATTCATTAACATTGTTATATTTATACCCAAAGTTTTAAAATTTAACACAATGTTATTTATAAGTTGTTTTAATCTACATGAAAAATAAAAATCTAATGGAAATTTAAATATACTTGAAGTTTTTTCAAATTTTTATGATATTGTATGTTCACTTATAAAATAATTATTTCTCCTTAAATTTTAAATAATTTCTTGTATGAATTAAAAATAAAATAACAGTTGATAGTTGAAATGTTTGCTAATTATTTTTATTAAAATTAACCCTTTTTCAACTACTTATAGGCTTAATTTCATTTTTTTTTTTTTTTTTTTGCATGATTGTTGATAAAAATTATTAGCTAGATCGAAATTTTTGGAAATAAATGATGTTCTATAAGTTATTTTTATATTTGTATAAAAATATTAAAAATACATTGGCGCAATTTTTGTACATACATTTGAAGTTAGAATTTTAACGAAATTCATTAAAACATGAAATGTGCAATTAAATTGTACAAAAAGCTCGTATTATATCAAAAGATCCGATCTATGTAAAAATATGCATTAAACATTGTTCATATTTTCATTATTTATTTTATACAAATTTGTGTTTGTTTAATATATTACATGATCAATTAGAACAAAAATGCAACTTCATACAAATCCGTATTCTGATATTTCCCATGATCAAACTAATTTTTTACATTGTTCACAACGTACATGATATAATATATATGTACATTGTACAATTAATGTACGATAAAACAAAATATATAAATCTATTAATACTACTTTTTCTTAAAAAATTATAAGATGCTAATTTATAGCTATTTAGTCAAGTTTAAACTAGTGCAATTAGTAGAAAAAAATTGTTGTCCAAAATTTTAACAGTTATGTAAATTATATTATATTGAATTTTATACCAATCATGTATTAATTAATTTAAAAATCTAGGCTAAGTGTTACATAATACGATATAAATTAATAATGATAATATAAACAGATTATTTAGCAAATCAATGATTACATGATAAGTCACCTAAAAATTTGATGTATTAATGTTTTATACGAGATATATATAATTTAACGATTGTCAACTAATTAGGTAAATATAATCTCATTCAAATACCTAAATATTCACTGCAATGGTCAACACGACTTTTTTAAATCTGTCGTTTACTTAACGTATTTCTAAGTTCAATATACACACGTAAACTTCTAAGTGTATAACATTCAAATAGTAAGCAATACATAATTATACAATCTACTTCAAGTTTTTCGTAAATTAGTAATATTTGACCAAATAAGTATCATATATTAATCTTTATGACTTGTGTACCTTATACTAAATTTCATAAAAACGAAAATTTTTGGAGTTAATTATTCAGTTAACTGGTTGTGTGAAGTACATAAGTTATTATTAATCTATTTTCAAAATATAACTAAAATGTTGTATGTTTAACGGAATAATTACCTTTAATCTTTGTAATCTATAAATATTTTAAACAAAAAACCAAAAAATGTATAGATACCTATAATCACACAATCGAAATTCCAGGTTTAAAACCTTTAAAAATATTGTTTTTAAATATTATAATATGTGCATTATTATATCCTGTTTTTTTAAAAATTATACTTAAAACTTTTACAATAAAAAAAACCAAATTTTTATTGGTTGAAAATGTCTATTTTCTATTTTTAATTTAAGCTTTTGTAGCTGTGTAGGAATTATAACACTATCTGCAATTTGAATTATTTGATGAATTTGAAATATACCAATAAAACGGCGATGCTATAAACTATGGAAACAGACTATGAAATACCTACCTAATTAATAAATAGTTGACTAGAACCTAGATTCGCCATACACATAACACTTCTCATAATATTTATATGTGATGCGTGACTATCGCAGTGGTGGCAAGGTTGTCATCGAGATTATTTGTATATTATTATTATTTTTCGCCTTTAATCGCGTATCAGTGTGTCATGACAATATTACATTATATCTGCTTTAATAATATACTAAATCGTGTAGATGCAGAAAATATTCGATTTTTTCCGATTCCGTTGCAATTTAACACCATTGCATGCTACTTGTCACTCAAACACACACACACACACACACACACACACACACACACACACGTTCAGTTACGAACCGTGCTAAGCGTTTAAGGTGCGGCTAGGCGTGGTTACTATAGCGACAACACAGAGGTGTTGAATCGAAAATTTTTTCTTCGCCTTTTCCAATCACCACTGCCAGTATACGTACACCTGATATAATATACTTACGCGTATACCGTAATCGGCCTCGGGCTACTATTCTATTCGCGCGCACCGATGTCGTTCAATCAAAACATCATAATATACCTAAATATATAAATAACGACCCTATACATTAGTGTCCGTCCACGAGCGCGTGTGTGCGGGCCGGAATACGCGAGTGACGCTCGTTGGGTGAGTGTACAGTCACGTCGTCATTATGGCCGGGCTGGGCGACACGTCGGGTGATATACAGCCGATGGCCGATCACGCCAAGGACATACTGCAGATGACCCGCGACTCGGAGATGATGCAAAGCTACGTTCGTGTGGGCAAGCCCGACGAGTCAGACGACTGTATAGGTGGAAGTAGCGAAGCAAATGGCGTTTGTGGAGGTGGAGTCGGAGGTGGCTTTGGCCGAGGCGAATCGGATTCCGATGATCTAGCCGGAAACCCAGGTTATACGGTCGGCATCGGTGCGGGCGTGGGTGACGATCTCGGGGGTTCGGGCATCGGACGAGTGGGCCGAAAGGGCTGCAGGACGGTAGCGAGCCGGCGTCACGGGAGGCGTAAGGTAGGTGGTGGCGGTGGCAGTGGTGGTGGCGGAGGTGGCGGTTCTTTTGGGGGTGGTGGTGGTGGTGCGACCACGACGTTTGATGAATTAACTGAAGAGTTTAAGACGCGCAAATCGGGCACCGGCAGTGGAGGAGGCGTTGGTATTGGTCTAGGTGGAGGTGGTGGTTTTGGTGGCGGCTGGGCTAAACGACACAAACGCGACTCCCGGTCCAGGCTGCTCGAAGAGGTGTACACGGACAAGGACCGGGCAGCTGCCGTCAACCTGGGCACGCGGGACATCAAAGCGTCTTTGCGTATGAAACGACGACAGGATCGGAACCGGACGCTGCACATACCATCAACGGCTGAGTCACCCACCCTGTTGGCGCTGGCTCGGCACTGCATTAACGATGTGAACGTGTCGCTCGAATTCATCGATAAGGTTAGGACGGAAACGCGGGTCAGGTTGGGTTTAATAACATTCTTATCTAGACTTGCTGTTAGTTTTGACATATTGCCGGTAAAGTTTATTATAATTACACCAGTTTTTGTCGTAATACATTATGGATTATGATGAATTGTCCGTTACGATGTCTTGACATTTTCATCAAATTTTGACACTAGCATTTTCTAGACATGATACACAATTTTCAAAATATTTTGAGTTTTTTGATATTTACAATTTTTAGTTTTTTTTTTATTATTTATAAAATTAGGCCAATATAAAATAGTAAATATATATATAGTAATACTATAAATAAATTACAAAATACCTTCTAAAATAGAGTCTAAAACACTATTTCTATTCAAAATTGTTTTTCATATTCATGCACCTTTTTTATTCGATTTATACTCGTACTTAAGACGTCCATTACAAATATCTACTGGCTAATCGATGACAAGGTACACTCGAAATATTCTAAACAGCAGATCAGTAACTTTCCCAACTTTTTAAATATTTTTTCGACATGATCCAATGAAAATAAAAACCTGAATATAATATATCAATTAAAATGTATACCATAATACTCGTATAATGTTATTTATACGGCAATGTAGTAAAAACCATATAAACAAGAAACTTTTTAGATTGTTAGTTGAAAAATATAGGTTTACACATTTAAAAAAATTTTGGTTCTAACAATTCAGAAATTATTTTAATTATATAAAATAAAAACTGAGTAATCATTTTATTATACATGTATATAAATAGGGCTTATTATAAATTTTAAGATTAAAACTAAACTCTCACTCTATTGTACGATATAACTTGTACCATCGTATAGTAAAGCAGTGTAAACAAGTTTAGTAGTATAAATAGCTTAAAATCAGTCTAAATATTTGAAAATTTCATTGCTCATAGCAAATAATAATATATACATATTAATCCATTCATGGATATAGTGATGGAAATTTTCAACTATTAATTATTTGTAACTTTTTGTAATATTTTTGAATTTTATAAAAATATAATATTCAAACACTTATAAAAAAAATAAGGATAAGGGAGTAATAAACCGCTTTGTTGTAAAATAGGTTTAGTGTATACCTTGTCATTGTGTAAGATACTGTAATAAATGTTTTGATTTTGAATTAAAAATTAAAAAAAAGAAACGATTTTGAACGATGATGACTTGTTGATTTATATTATTAAATATTAAGTATATTTTATGAAATATTAATGATATCACTATTGAACGCATAATACGTATATCGTATAGATTCCTTATAAGAGTTATTTTTGATATTTAAAAATATTAAAGATATGTTATAGGGAAGATTATTTTCTTAAATATTTGAAGTTTAAATTCACAAAAATATACAACTTATTTTATAATTAAAAATAAAGATAATACAGAGTTTTTTTCACACTGCAATCGCCTTATGAATTTATAAGTACAATTTTTTTATAAACATTTCAAGTTTAAAAATAAATAAAATATTTATGCAAAAATAACAATTAAGTTATTTTTCTATAATTTAAAAATAATATTTGAGGGTACTTAAAACTTCTAATATATGTAATTAATAATTTATTTTATACATACTAGAAATACATACAACACATACATTGTTATGTTACATTAATTGACTAAATCAATAACGAGATATACCTATACTTTAAAAGTTTAAACAGTAGAGCGGTTACCTACTTCATCTGTTTTTTTTTACTCTAAAATTATATGTGTAGCCATATAGGTAATATAAAAAATGTCATTAAAAAATAGAACTTTAAACTTTCATAAAAAAAAATAGTCGAAATATTTTCAATGTCTTTTAAATGCTATAAGAAACCTTATATTAAATTATTAAGTATTTTTAACTATCAAATATAAATTGATCATACTATTGGATCAAAAAATAGTCAAGAAATTTAAAATGTTCATAGAAAAGTTCAAATATTTTTAAATTTATTATTTCATACCCTAGAAACTTTAGGTATAAATAATAGAAAAAAAAAGTTTTTCATTTTTAAAGTATGAAAAAAAAAATGAAATAAATTTTTATCGAAATCTGGATTTGCGAGAAGACTCCTAAATAAATTACAATTTAGAATACAGGTGTTGTCTTTACATTTTTACAAATTTTCAATAAACTTTTAAAATAAAACTATTTATCACTGTGTATTTATTAGATAAATTAAAATTATTAAATTAATACAAATATTTATTTTAGAATATAAATAACAATAATATTTATTATTTGATTATATTATATTTATATCTATTAATTATTAAACCTATTTAAATTTTTAAATATTATTAACAGTTCAAATAATTAAAAATATATGTAGTTTAATTATTATGTGTTTTTATATTTTATTAACACGCATTATTATTGTATATTATTTACTACAGTATAAATCATAGGTGACCAATTTGCGACTCGCGACCACGTGTGGCTCTCGTCATTATCAGATGCGGCTTGTGTCTTATTTATAAAATCAAAAATTTAATTGTTTTGGTATTAGATTATAAAAATTTATCAAATTATGTAAAATGTGTCTATAAACATTTTGGCTCTTAGTATTATTTGTCTATATGGCCCTCGAACTTATTCATATTGCCTATTGGCCACCTCTGATATATATAATAATGCTAATATATAAATAAAAACATTGCAACAAATAACTTTTAGATGCACATCAAAATTTTTTTGAATAATGTTAACTTATAACTGATAGCTGTTAACTTTGAACAAAATAATTGTATTAAACCACCGTCTATTTCTTTACGTCTGTATTAATAAGTAACTAGTAAGTCATGTAAGTACTTATATATGAAATAAGTTGTATATGCTAAAAATCTAAAATATTACACGGCTACTTCATGATAAAAAAGAACTTCGTGTTTGGTACGCGAATAAATAAACACGCGCGTACTATTTACTTGGCTTCATGAATTCAATATCAGATAAATCTTAAGTTTTAACGAACACCTTTACAAGTTTATGTTGAGGCTTTCAGTAAGTTTTGAGTTATTCGTGTTGAACACACTAAATGATTGCAATTTTCACACTTTAACTTCACCAATGTTTGTAATGATCGTTTTAAGTAAAGTGTAAACAAACAATTTAATTATGATTTTTCAATCATCTTTGTACTTTTTAAACTTGTTTCTTGGTTCTACGCTTATCGAATTTCAAATTTTATTTTATTTTGTTAAGTTGCTCGTTTCCTCGTTTGATACACGTACAATTATTTTCAGTACCTTATGATCAGAATATAATGTTGTGAGTATGTGTTAAACTTAATAAAGAAAAATTGTAATGACCTATACATTTCACTTTATGCATACGAGGTCAACACTCGTCACTCGATGACCTACGTCAAAATAAATCATATTAAATAAAATCTTTTGAAATACTTACTTGATGCATTTTCATTACATTATTTTATATTTAGTTATAACCACTACAGTCTAATAGAAAATCTGCTATTTTACTAAATAGCGTCATTAAAATAAAGCATATTTGTACTATTTAATTTTACTTACAGTGTTGACTGCTGTAAATTATAATAATTATAATATTGTGACTAATTATCGTAAATTAAAAAATTAAAATTGATATTTTATTTAAATTTAATAATTATAAGTAAAACTTATTTTTGATTTAGTGACATGTTAAATTACCTAATAATGGAAATTTTAAAGAAAAATTATTATATATTATTATCAATTATCAACATTAAAAATATGTTTTAAACTTCTGAAATTTCAAGTACAATTTTACTACTATTAAAATGGTTCGATTTACAAATAAATGATTAATTATTTTTATAATTATGCCATAGTTATATCTTGTGTGCTTACTGCTAGGTCACTAGTACTAGGTACTTTGTAAAATAAACCTATGTCAAATAAGTAGTTTATCATAATATCATTCATTTTTTTTTTTCATTGTTTAAACGTGTATTATTCAAAAAATTCAATACATTTTCTTGTGAATATCATTTAATATTAAATAATATAAAAATGAATTTTTAATATGAATTATAATTTCTTGTATAGATTCCTTGCGAGTCACTGAAATTTATCAATAATTAGAAAACTGGAAATAGTTAAATAATAATTCAATATTTCTGTTTTATGATTTATCTTTGACGACTAATCGTCTGCTTTTATTTTACTAAGCTTTCAAATTTTCAATTAATAAAGTGACATAATACTTATTTTTTTAGATATTATCAACAAATAGACTGAGATAGTTAAAAAGCAAATATAAAAAAATGACAATTTAAATATTTCAGTGACTTCGACAATCGTCAACTTTGCAATTGTATTATATTATTAATGCAATTAGACAATGTCTGCTTGGATACAAAATTCTCCATACATATATTTACTAAATAGTAAATTAAACATTTTTTTCTTTTTTACGTAAAGTAAATAAGAAATAAGACATTTTACAGCCATACAGGATAGTTTTTGATTTATAATCGTAATTAAAGATAATAATTTTCAAAAAAAAAAAAAAAAATGGTTAAAAAAAGGTTAAAAAAAGGTTTTTTTAAAAAATTGAAAAGTAATATATAGCGGAAAAGAAACAATCCAATAAATAATAATGATAGTTGATGATCATAATATTCATAATACATAAAATATTAATGTACTATATAGTATATACTATCACTTAAAGTCTGTATAGTGGATGAATCTTGCAGACTCTATATTTTATTTATAAATTATTATAATTTGTAATATTAATTATTAAGTATTTAGAATTTAGCATTTACTATGTAGTTATAACTTATAAATAGTTAATAGTTTATTTAATACTATTATACGCGTACATCGTATTGATAAATGTAAAATGACAATGAAAAATTTCTTATCTATTTTTTTTTTTTGACTAGGTTTTTTTAATACTTTAATTATTTTAAGCATAAATATAATTTTTTAATTTTCCTAAAATTCTGTTTTCTTATTTTTTTGAAAACTTTGGTATTTTTCAAAAATGTTTTATTTTAATATTTTTTAATTTTTTTATACTTTCCGGCATTTTAATCCCTAATCATAATTGTGTAATTTTTATTTTTTCTGATTCCGAGTAATGGTCATTGTTGATATTAGACACATTTAGTTACTAAAAAATTGATTTACACTGCATACCTATATTTCTTTAAAGATAGGTAATAATATAGAACAATAAATAGTAATACACAGTTAATGGTTTTTCGTGATCAATGATTATTTATTGAGAACTTATTGTATAATGTGATGAATATAGGTAGGATTTCGTATATGTACATTTTTTATAATATTGTATGTACAACTGTAGCAGGTGATCATTTTTTATTTTTGTTTGAAGGCATTGGAGTTGAGCCCCAATGACAAAACGGCTTTAGTTTCTAGAAGCAAATGTTATTTGCTTCTCGGCCAACCACGTTTGGCATTGAAAGATGCTGAAGTGGCATTGAATGAAGACAGTACATATCTAAAAGGTATTATTAGAAAATTATAACTTATACTATCAGCATAAATTACAAAGTAAAAAAAAAATTACCTTTACAACTTCTCGCAGGGTTTGTGTAAATAATATTTTACAATATCTAATCTAAAATGTTAAATTGTATTTTATGTGAATATAATAATTGTCTAACGTGGTGTGGACATTTTTTTAAGTATAAAAAAGATAAGCAAATACTTTTGTTAACTACGTGTGCATAAGTAAGTAGTTACCTATATCTCGTATAGATTCATAAATATATTATAAGTTATATTAAAAAAGATAGCATGGATACTCATAGAAGGATTCCGTTTTCAGCCAAACTAAATTAACATGTTATTTTGTATATTTTTTGAAAGCCTTTGAAACTAAATTCGACAACTGTAATAATTATGATGGACGCACCACATCTCGTATTGTCTCATCAATATCATATAAAGTAATATATTAATAGAATATTTCCCAAAGTATAGATATACGACATATTATTAACTGGTTTTATACTTGATGCACAGCATATATTATAACTAGGTTTTAATAACGGATTTTAATTTAGTATAAAATTATAAATATAAGATAAAATCTATTATATATAATATTAATATAAATAAAAATGTTTTATTCTGAATCATCTAAATAGTCTCTGTGAATAAAACAATTAAAAACGACGTATAATTTGAAATTTTCAAATTAAAAATGACAGTGATTGAATCTTCACATTGCTTTATAAATATAATGGCTGAATTACCTCTCCACATCAACGGTAGTGATGGATGTATATTTCATACACATTATTTTTTTTGGAATGTATTCTATTTCCAAATAAAACTCATATGAACACTGATCGAAAGCATATTTATTAATAAGTAGGTACTACCTATTACCTAAATGAGATGTCTAATCGTTTTCATTTAATGTCAAGAAGTGTACAGACTTAATCATATTATATCGTAGGTACATCGTAAAATACTAAAATAAAAATTCTACAATAATACAGAATACATATATTTATTTTTAAAATATTTAAAATAAAATTAGCATCAGCTTATTTGAATTTAAATGAAACATATACATAATATGTCGAAAATATTCTGATATTAAAACTACATAAAAATATTTATTTAAATTAAACTCCGTTCTCTAATTATAACTTTTTAATTATTTTAGAGTATTAGTATATAATATATATTAATCATTACAGATGTAAAATTTAAAGAATCTAAATTTTAAAATCATTCTTGAAATTTATTATGAGTACCTACTATATAGGTATATAGGTATATACCTATTAATATACAAGTAGGTAGGATATGGTAGGTAAAAATATAATATAAATATCCAATATTAAAAACATCATTAGTTAAACATCAAAATACATTAATTTATTAAATTTAATAACTGTAATTTAAACATATTATTGATAATTTCTAGAATAATAATACGAGATATGAGGGTTTTCAAATAATATCTAAAATATCTACCTAATATAAGTACATTTATTTTGATGGGAAACATTCGCGGTGATAACGGTCGAATTTCACTTTGAAGGATACAGGAACTCCGCCTAAAAAGCTATAAAGTGACCACTAAAGTATTAAACTGAATCCGTAGCAATGATACATTGGAGAAATATTTACTAGCGTTTCTAATAAATTAATTCTATAATAGTGTCGTTAAATAAAATATTTAATTATGATAATGATACAACGGTAAAAAGTATAATTTTATTCATCACCACGATATGTTACTAGAATCTATCTATAATGCGTTTCTGGTTTTTACATAATTTATTAGTTATTTCAGAGAGTCAACTCTATGATCAGGAATTAAAATTTCATACTATGGCCAATGAGGATTCATACTATCTTAATATGATTTTGTGAGTCATATTATAAGTGTGTATTGTAAATTATAATACTCTATAAATCGTGTAAAGTTATATCCACAGTGTCAAAAATTAAAAATTATTGATTTTAACTTATCAGCATCTCCAACATTTTCAGATACATAGTTGATGTGGAAAGTTTATTTTGGTTTACGCCATATGAATACTATATTATACAACAATGATTCTTATAATAAGTTAATGACCCTCCTCATCAGAATTTGAGAATTACTACTGCTATTGAATATACTATCATCGAAATTATCATACACTATATAGTCATGTATTACATAATATAATTTTATTTTTGTATTATGCAGCCATTTATCAGAAAGCGGAAGCACTATACCATCTTGGCGATTTTGAACACAGTCTCGTATTTTATCACAGAGGACTCCACGTTCGACCGGAACTCGAAAAATTTAGGCTGGGCGTGCAAAAAGCTAGAGAAGCCATTGAAAACGCTATTGGTAAGTCCAAAAGTCATCCACGTCGTATGTGTATTACAGTTTGAGTGTAACGATACAATGCTCAATTATGGAGAGGGTGAAGGACTGCACAAAACTTCATTATGGACTATGTTCCTATAATATTTAAACCCGTCCATTAATTAAACATTAACATCATATAATAACTTAACATGTTTTTTTTTAAATCCTTGTATAAATAAATACGTCTAATGTAACTTATTAAATTTTTAACCAATTAAAAAAAATAAAAAATAATTTCAAAATAATGAAATAATGTTTTGAGATAGTGCGTTATTAGTATTTGTTGGTTATTTATAGTATATTAATTTTATTTTATTTTTTTTTTTGTGGTACTAAACTGAGACATTTTTTTATCAACCATCACTCATCATTTTAAAATCTATTAATGTTTTTGAAATTATTACATAATTTCCAGTTGAAATAAAACAATATCCTTTAAATTTTTGTTGTTATAATTTTTTTAAGATTTTACTTTTTTGAATGATCGCATACATTTTTAATTTTGTTTTGAAACAGAATATTTTTTCGGTATATTAATACTTGTTCATGAGATTTTATTAATTAAATATAATATAAAAAATACTTAGTATTAACTATTGACCAGCACTTAAACTGAGACTCAAACATATGTAACATATGCATAAAATCATGAAAATGGCATTACATGTATATTAATGCAAGAAAAAAATTAAATATACAAATACTACACATGATATAATTTTCTATGATTCAGTTAATTATGCAATATAGTATAACTGCTTGGGTTGGTCTAAGTTTTGTAATAAGTTATAAAATACTGATAGCATAAAAAAACATATTTAAAATAAAATCAAACAAGCCCAAAATGTATTTTTCAATACAATTATCCAAAGACTTTTATGTCTTATTTACACAACAACTTCCCAGTTTTTTCATGTATTGTCTTTGTTGTTGTTTAAATTAAAATAATTATTTCTATTAGTACTCCAATATCCAATAAGAATTTATTCTCTGCGGTGAGTAAGGATATTATATATGTTATATTAGTTGTAATTCTATTTAAATATACCATAAGATATCTAATAAAATCATTATTATTATCATCAAAAGATTTTGAAATAATGACTGTTATTTGATAAATGATTCACCCTACATATTTCATACGCCTAAATATATAAGATATCACTGCGCAGGAAAAATGAAGAATACCGCTATCGTGATACAGCAAGTTGGTTGGGAAGACAAACGTCAAGCGACCGTAGCCAGAACAGTAAACGGAGGCGATGGTGGCATAGGTGGTAGCAGAGGATCGACACCGACTGTAACAGGATCGACAACGAGACGCAAGCAAACAGTCACCGCTAAAAGCCAATCGAAAATGCTGCTCAGGGAATTATGCGTAGACAAAGAATATCTGGAACACTTGACAATAGATCCAAGTACTATTATTATATCTAGACGATACAATAGACATTTTTTTTCGTATTTAAAACATTGCATTAGTAGTGGAAAATGTGTTTGTTTTAGTCTTTAGATTATTCTGATTATTTTCATATTTTTTAGGGTATTAAGATCAGAGCTCTAATTGATTTAAATATGATACCATATATTTGATCAAAATATTTAGCCATCATAAAAATGACTAATTACTAGGATTTTAATTTTATATTTGAAGGCAATAAATTATGAAAAAAAGCACTTAAATCCTAAATGTACCCATCAAAAACATATTTTAGGTAATATAGGTACTTTTATAAACGTTAAATAAGCTCTATCGATACGTCTAACAGCAATAATAAAACATACACATTAAAGATAATTTTAAACATGACCATTTAACACGCGTAGTCTTCGCAAGCTTATATCGATTTGTACCAACGTTAAAAGTATAAAATTATTATCATCAATTAATACTAAACACAAAAAATTTAAAAAAGAGAAAAAAGTAAAATAATTTTTACCCATTATCTTAAAAATTAAATGGAACACATTTTTATATGAACTATTTTTCTATTATTATCAAAACAAAAAGACATTTGCCTTCAAATCCAACTATTTTTAATTACCTATTGACTTTCGTTAATTATCGGTTAATATAATATCATATTTGTTAACAGTTAAGAATGTTAAACAGGAAACTTTATGACAATAATCATAAATGTATAATACGACAATCTATTCACTTTTTTAGGATCATTTTTTAAAATGATTAATGTATTTTTAAAAACTTAAGAGGTTTTCATATGTAACAATTAAACGTTTTAAAATAGTATAAACTTAAATAATAATTATAAATACAAATGGTTTACAAACTTTCTTAATGCACTATATTTATATTTTATAATTTTTATGGTACAATGTTTATATTTGTTTATAAGTACCCTGATATATTAATAAACTCGCGATACCTACCTAATGCGCCAGTTGTAATGTACACCAAAAATATATTTTAATGAGTAGGCACAATACGATAACTTATCTTCTTATAGATTTGAATAAAAATTATAAATGTTATTCCTTACAAAATAGAATACCAATAACAAGTATTTTATGGTAATGATTTTACATGAGATTTGGATACAAAAACTCAAAATGAATGTAAAAAAAAAAAATACTGAGTTTATTATGTGAATGAGATTTTTACCAAGAAATTATCATATTATATACTTTTTCACATAAACCCAAACATAATATTGTATTGTATGATTTTATTAATATATAAGTGCAGTTTATTTCTGTGTTCTATACATCAAATTTTTCCCACTGAATATTATAATTTTAATAATTATCTACACCAAATCGGGCTAGCATGATAATAAGTCGTATTTTTTAAAAATTTTTCGTACAGATATTATGAGTGCAATTCAAGAAAACGATAACTATATACTCTCCGAAGCGAAAGATGGCATTAGTTTTTTGAATGGCCGAGAAGAATTTTGGAAACAACAGAAACTTATTAATTAGTTATTGTGAAACCTATAGATCGAAATTAATTAGATACAATTGTACTTAATATAATAAAGTTGATTATAATATTAATTGAAAATGTTTGATTTAATTTTAATTTTTTTTATTATTTATGTAATAAATCATAATGCATATAAAAATTAATACATTTGATTAATCTAAATTAAAATTGATATAAAATTCTAAATTTCTTAAATACCTATGTATACAAAATCTTTTATGAATTTAAAATCACAATATACACATAATTTATAATTTTTAAGATTTTGTCAAAATTACTAATTTGAATGATTATAAAAAAAAATATTGTGGCTATAAATTTTCAATATTTTTAATTAGAAAATAAACAACTATTAGAATAAATTCTTATTTACCATTTTCAAAATTTTTTACCCAAACATAGTTTTTTTTTATTGACATTTATGTAAAAAAAAAAAAAAACATAAAATAAATATCAAAATATTTTTATGCCTAAAAAGAGCTCAAGAATATTTTGAAAATTATACCATGCATAGAAAATGATAATACCTATATATAATATACATTATGAACATTTAAATATCAACAGATAATTCAAAAATTTGTAATTATAATTTACTGTCCATTGAAGATATATGGTCAATACATATTTATTTATGTTATAAATACAATCTAAGAATTTATTTTAATTACATTTAGTTAAAACAATATTATTACTTAATATATTAATACAAATCCAAGTATTTTAATAGTTTGAAACATGTTATTAACTATGAGGCTACGGGCTTATGTAGTTAAATGTATTAATCTTACATTTTTTTTTTTTTTGTCATAATAATGTGCAATTAATTGGTATTTATAATTTTTGAGTAGACCACTCCCGACTTTGAACCATCAAATACAAAATTTAGAAATGAATGTGTATATGAATCAAATACAGGTGGAGTTATAACCCACAAAAAATAATAACATTTTGACTTACATCTATTGATACCTACAAGATTTAAATTTATCATTTGATTCAAAACTTAGGAGGGATAATTCAGACAATATTGTAAATAAGCCATAGAAATCTAATAGGTTATTAATAAATTGAAGTTAAATTTTTTAACTAAGTAAATCAACAGTAATTAAGCATGATCTCATTTACAATATCAAGAATAAAAGTTTTGTATATTTTAATTTCTCAAATAATTCCATATAGAGTAGTTAATGATTTATTTTTATTAACACCTGTATTACAGTATTACACATAGGAATTAGAAATAACAGTGATCTGTGATAGAAATGTATAAAGAAATGCAGTGTGTTATCTTGTATAAGGTAAAAATACAAAAAAAACGATCAATTTTATTGTGTAAATATGAAAAAATTTTAAAAAAATAATAATAAACATGCAAATATGCATTTTATTGAAATTTTATTATTTATTTTGTATTATTATGATTAATATAAAAAAATGGGTATAGCGAATGGTTGAAAATATTTGGCAAACTGAATAATAAATATAACTGTACTTAATAGTCTATAACACTTATTGTCAAATAAACACCAATTAATTGGTTGATTTGGATTATTTGAAATAAGCAAGACAATTAATGATAATTGCCACTAATCACTACATTTAAGTTTTTATACCTTGTAGAAAATCTAACTATAATATAGCCAGGGTTTTAACTTGTGACAATATATTTTATAACATTTATAATAATTTAAGTAAAATATAGGTATGGTACACATTCCAAAGACAACATTTAATTGAATTATAAATTATATATAAAAATATTAAAAATTATAATTATTTTAAATTTTATTATATATTATTATCCACAATAAAAACTTAAATTAGTCGTACTAGTCGCAATGGAAAAATGAATAATTAGTAGAAACTATAGTATATATGCAATATATATTATGTATTTAAGATTATAATATTAAATAAAATTTAATTATTTTCCATTTAATACAGCAAATTTTTACAATATAACTTTCATCGTCTATTTTATTTGTTAAATGTTTCTGAATGCCAAGAGTAGGTAGCTTAGTGAATTTTTCTTGACCCAAACAAGTGTATAACCAGTTTTTCAGTCTACATAATATTATTGAAAAAGAGTTTTCACACATCGAAGAAGAAATTGTAATTCCTACTTGATCTGATTTACAGACAATTGGAAACAAACTTAGGTTACATTGATTTTTCAAATTAAAATTCAGCTGGGAGACTATTCTTTAACACCAATATTTCTACTGAGATATTAGATATTAAAATTTTAAAAATATCCTGATATATCAAACAATGAAGAATTTAGTATTTCAAAAGTTATGACTGTTATGAGCATGTAATAAATATTTTAAATAATAAGTTATTTTTATCAAATATATTCCTATTCAAACAGAAAATATTACCTTCATCTGAGTTAAAAAAGTTTTCAATAGATTTGACCAAAGCTATATGTTCTCAACAAAAATGTTTTCTAAATTTATAATTATAACCTCCCATGTATATTTATGCAAGAAATTATCTTTATTTTATTTCACTGTAGTACAATACTAATACTCCAATAAATATTTTTTTAATATCTTCATTTACGCCATGAATATTTTCAATAATTATTGATACAAATATATTATTTAATAGTTATATATTAAAAAATAATAATAATACAATTGACATATATTTGTACATTATACATAGTTCAGTCTATACAACAAAATAGTAGATATAAAAATAAACGTAATATAATTTTACTTATTTTATAAAAATACTTAATTATTTAAAATTAAATTTATGCTTAATTATAACATTATGTATAACATGACATTTAAATAATAAATATATAGTACATTTTAAGCTATTGTTTGGATATCCACACAAATTTCTTTTCCTTTGATCAAATTAGTGCTGTTTAATGATATGTATTGTACTTTTAACATTTTAAATAATATAACTATCAGTTTTTATCGTCTTAACTAATGGTAAAAAAACAATTTGTGAAATATTTTTGTATAAAAATGTAAAAAAAAACCTATTATAAGAGGTCCATACTTTTATATAATTAAAATGGACTAATTTAATATCACAGTATATACATATATAATCAAATAACCTACTTTGATTAATAAAAAAAATACAATATAAAATAAACAAAGGTACACTGATCAAATTTTTATTTTAAACAGTTGCAATTAATTCAAATTAACAAAAAAAAAAAAAAAAAAAACATTTATGAAAATAGATTTATTATTTCACGGTTTTCATTTATAGTGCAATGAGAAAATTATTAGTTTAACAATAAAACAATGATTGATGATCGAAAATGAATTGTTTATGACCACTTAATTAATTAATTGTTATACTTATAATTTCATATTGCTATATATAATTATAGCTTATACTAAATCTGTCTTGTACAAATATTTGGAATACTACATAGCATTGATTGCCATGGTATACTGGTGGTTCCCTGATCTTTAATTAATTCTATTGCTCTAGGTAAGAAATGTGTAAGACTTATTTGAGAGTAATCTGGTAATATCCATCTCATACAGAAAACACAACGACCCAATAAATTAAAATATATCCATAGTGTACGAGGTAGATCTTGTCTCTTGAATGGTACACAATTATCCATCAAACTAAACAATGCAAAATGACTTAATGGTTTTACATGGTCAAAATCTTCTATCTCAATTTCAAATACTGATAAATATTGAAGTAAATGATCATATGGTTGAGTTCTCGGGGTATTAAATAAGTTATCTGATATATCGATGGAATTAAAGACTCTAGAAGATAAACAATGAGGTAAGTATACTAACGAATTGTCATTAACAAATATACTTTTGAGTTTCTTGAGTTCGCCGATAAACTGAGGTAAATATGACTGTAAAAAAAATTAAAATTTTTCAAATTATTCATCAGTTTGAAATTAGGTATTTAAATTTATTTTGCATATGGTTTGAAATGTTCATATAATACTAATTTTAAATACAAAGTTTAATTTTGCATATTTGGAGGAAATGTATTTACCATAAGATAAATCAATAATTCACTTTTTAAATTGGATCTCTGTATACTATTTGTTTTCCTTCTCTGACCCATACATAATGTAAATGCCAAATTTGCATCTAGCAGAACTAATTTTGTCATAATAGCTTTAATATTAAAGCAAATTAACCTATTATCAAAATTAAAGTCGAAAACATCTGTTCTTACTTTGGATATTTATGTTTCAATTTTTTGCACATTACTTAAACCAGCATTTTTAAATTCTAATATTTTACAAACTTCTAACTTAAGCTAACAATACTAGATTGGTTTTGTTGACAAAAAATTTGCTGTCCTTAGATTAGGGAAAAAAAATTAATAGTGCACCAACACAATGATTGAATAAGTATAAATAAAATAAATAAATAAATTTTACTGAAAAAAAAAAAACAGTTAACATTTTTATTGCTGTTATTAATAATGTTATCATAGAATATTGCAGTTAATTATTTGAATCTGTTAAAAGGTTTTGATTTTAAATAGATATTTCAATATTTATTATTGTAAATTAAATAAAGCTAACAACTGATTTCTGATAAAAGTAATGAAAACATTTTTTAAATACTTGTATTAAGTATAAATATTATTTATATAATTGCATATTTAGATATAGTAAATTTTTTTTACATCATATTTATTAATTTATAAATGTATATAATTCTGAGTTCTAGATTAATAATGAAAATAATAAATTTTTAGACTTTTAGCTTAATTTTCAAAATCAATTTTTTTTTTTTTTATTAATCTTTTTAAGCTCAAAGCATAAAAAACTAGAATAACCGAGTTTAATACTTAAGTAATAAGACTTATTGGGTATCAAATAGATAAATTCAACAGTAAAAATATACAAGAATAGCACAATAGATTCAGAAAATAATATGAAACAATGGCCTAATTATCCATAGTTAATCTTAGAGAAAGAAATAATAGAACAGATAAAAATGCAATAAAAAAATAAAGTTGGTAGCTACAAGTAATAAGGAATTCACTATTAATTACCAAATAATTGTGGGATATTGATAACTCTTGTAGATTTCTCAGGAACATTATTTCAAATGGCAATCTTTTCAGACCGAGGGAATCCATTTTTAAGACTAATAATGTATCACAAATTGTGGTTATAGACGTCCAATTCCAGAAGGTATCTTGATTAGTAGCTAGTTTACTACCCGATATGCTAAGATATGTAATGGGTAAATGACCAATTTCTACAGGAATTGTAGGCAAATCACATTTTTCCAACACGAGTGTAGTCAAATGTCTCATGTTTAAAACACGATTATCAAAACGATTTTCAGCTACAAACTTGAGAGCCTTTGGATCAAAACGATTAATAACGGCTTTTTTAGTCGATACCGCCTTAGGCATTAGACGTGAACCGATGTTCACTTTTTTACCGTCAAGTATGGCCTTAATTTGAGCGTGGAACATGATAACTTCTGATTTTTGTTCAGAATCTATCAACAATACGTGTTTGGGCTCTGTGAACTCCAATCCCAACTTTCCTTCTGTAATGAATCTGCGGAATATATTTTTCACCATGGCTAAGTTGTAGTTTTTAATATTCGGATACATTGAATTTTTAACAGACACATAGTAGTTGTTATTTGATTTTCTGGTCATCACACACGATTTGAGCGGTCGTGAGTTCAAATGTGGGTGGTTTAAATCTTGGATGGTAAGCGAACATTTGATTAACATCGTTATTATTGAAAACAACACAAACGTCTTCCACAATTGATAAAAACCGAAGAATACCTATCGAAGAGCATAAATTAAATCCGCAACGGTCATACTACATAAACTGTAAAATGAACACTTCAATTATTATTATTATTTCAGTTATCGGTAATGGTACTATAGCATTACGCGGCAAAAAAAGTATTACGAACAAAGATAAGACTATCATCTTAGTGATAAGTATATGAAAAATTGGAAGCAGTGCTGAATCAGCTGATCGAGTTTTGTTAGTCTTTTGTTTTTACTCCTCCACGAATAATGTTTACAACGATGCACTTATGGAGGTAAAATAATAAATATGTATCGAATAACATTACAATTTGAAAAATATGAATAAATGTCTTGGGTATCGCCTTGTTGTACGGTAGAGTCTTAGGTATTGAGGGGATCACTCTAATGAATGTATTAAATTTGAATTCGATTGTATATCAATATATCATTGTATACGGAATATGATTCTGAACAGAGACGGTATTGATCATTAGAAGTATATTCTGTGCTATGTTTTTTGATATTATTACCTATTAACTATCAATTATTAAAGTAATTTATTTTTAATTTAAGTAATACAGTAGGTTGGTATAATCTATGCTAAAAAAAAATACATTTGAAAGTATCATTGTGTGTATAAACTATAAAATATTATAATAGATACAATTTAATACTACCTAAATGTTTTATGTTCTCATAGGTTACAAATAATTTTTTTGAACGAAATAAGGAATATCGTTTTACCACATAGGTAGTTAAACTATATTGTGATTTAGACCAAATTTGAACTTAAAGTATAAATTACTTATGAAGGACTTTGCATTAAATTTTTAACACTTAAATATAAAAGTTGAATATTATTTCAACTTCAAAAACATAAAATTTCGTCATTATTGAGAAATTTTGTTAACATTTGAACTTCAAAAATATATAAAAAAATTATATATACCTATATATTTTGAAGTTTTTTATGCATCTGTAATAACAACTTTAGTGGGTTGTGATATGAAATTTTCAATCTTCTAAGATATATAAAGAACATTTTATGATAATTGTATTTCTAACCAGAAAATAATATGAAAACTTTAGAGATTTTACGAATTTCATTAAAATTTAAAATTCAAAACTTAATCACTTATAAAATAAAATGTTGAAATTATTAATTATTTTTGATAGATGTTTTATAATTAGCATATAAAAAATATAAATCTTAAACTGAAATGTTTTGTTTACACACTATTTATATAATTTATTTCAATAATCAGTATTGAATTAGAGCATTGCAATATAGGTACCTACTCCGTACTTTCATAGTCTAATCAAGTAGGTGAACTTTAAATAAATAATAATTTAATGACAATAACATTTATAATATTTTTAATGTTTACTAAATTTTTGTAAATCTAGTTATTTTGTAAAACATCAAAAAATTATTAGTTTGATTAAATATTATTGCTATAATAATATACATACCTATAGTAAATTACTGTTTGCTTTTAAGAAAATTAACCTTTGAATTATTGTTGATTATTCAACTATGTAATAATGTTAAATTGTTATCATTAATAGGTATATATTTTAATGTACTAAATCAATATTTTATACTCAAATGTTATGTATTTATTATTATTTACGTTTAGAAATTTAGGTTATTATTATAACATTGAAGTTTAAATATATGTTTAATTTTTAACTAAAAAAAAATCTTTACATATGGGTAAGAACTAAGAACAATAATCAGTAAAGTTATGTAAAATATTGGTCTGGTGGTGTCATGGAGAATATAAAAATTAGAAAATGAGAACTTTAAATTATGTAAATTGTTATGAAATAAAAAATCTTTGTAGGTAGCTAGTTATTTATTTATTTATTTTTTTTGACATGAGTAATGGAATACAATACACATACTACATTTCATAAGAATATAGATTACAAAGCCAACATAGTATCTAACAAGCATATACATTGTATGCATATGCATACATAATATAAAACTTGTGTTTTTTAAATTTTGTAGTCAATTACAGGAAAATTGCTTCATAGTTTATTAAACATTAAATATATTGCATTATTTATCTATCTATTAAATAAAGTGGGTAAAAGTAAACATAAATTTTAGGTAATGATATAATATACTAATATATTTTTGGCTATTAGTGTATGGATTTATTAACTACTGAATCAAAAACAACACTTTCGAAAAGCTGGATCATATTAGAAAAATGTAATGGATCTAGACCAATTAATTCCACTAATTGAAGGTCATAGTTGAACTGGTTAATCTAAAAAAATCAAATAAAAATAACATTAATCACAATTAAATGAAATCTTACACAGTACATTTTTTGAAAAATTAAAGAATTTTAGTTTAATTTGAAAAAAATTATGATTTTAAGTTTGATGTTTTATAATGTAATTTGTTCTCCATAGGGATTTACATTAATTAATGTTGTTTATCAGTAAAATTTATGTAAATAATGTAAAACATATTTTTTGCAAACAATTTATAGGTTCTCATTTGAATTTTTAAAGTTGATTTCCTCCAAAACCCCTACCCCTAAAATATTACAAAAAAATATGTAAAAATTACAAATTATATTAAATGTTTCTAATTATAAACATTTTTTTATTTTACATTTTTCTCTATTTTGAATATTTATTCTGTAAAATGGCTGTAACATTAATTTTAAATTGTCCTGTATTATGTATAGGTATACTATTATTATTTATTAAATTATTCAAAATTATGATCATTGAAAATTGTTTTTGTATGCATAGTTAGAAATCAAATAAAAACATTGGCGCTTATAGGTAATATTTTAAAGGAGGTAAAAAAAAAAAATCAAATGTCAATAATCTTACATAGGTATCTACAGGAATTGTTAATATGATAAATATTAACAATCAGGTTTTATCTTTATATATTGTGTTTTTTTTTTAATTTTATATTCTAATGTAGTTAAACAATTTATTTTATGAAGTCCAAGTTATTAGAAAATGATATCATAGTAATATTTATTTAATTATTTTTCTCCCCCCCCCCCAAATAGGCATCCAGGAATACACAAACAATTTTTTAATTTTGTGAAAATTTATACTAATTCTATGCTTAATTTTAAAATAATAATAAGTAATTAATCAAAGTTTAGTTTTTTTCTATATTGTATTTTTTTTAAATTTTTTTTTAATAGATAGGTTCTAACTATAGTTAGCAACTATGTTAAATATTTACTATGTCACACTGAGTAATATAAAGTGCCCTGGATTACCTATTGCACAATATGTATTTACATATTATAAATGTTAATTCTATTACATAATATGGATTCATGGAGATAATAATAATAAATAAAATATATCTACTGAGCTTTAAAATGATTTATCTCTGTGAACTCATAATTAATTTATTATGATATAAGTATGTATATTGTTACGCTAATAAACAATGGTATACATATTATAATGTACTAGAATAATTTTATATAATTAAAGCAGATCATTGTTTAAAAATATTTATCATTATTGTTATTTATAGAAGTAATCTTCAAAGAAACAAAATTTAAAATCACCCAACATTAAGAGATAGAAGAAATATTTATACAAAGACCATTTAAAGTAAAAGAGGAAAGAGCTATTATAACAAATTGACAATTAATTATTATTTAAATTGTTTAAGTCCTATAGAAGGAACGGTAATTTAAAAAAGACATCCAATAAGTTGTATCTAATTAGTCTTAAAAATTATTCATATGCCAATTATATATGTTCATAGATACCTAATTTAAACAGCAAATTTTTTTAAAATAATTTTGGTAATTTATTTGTCTTCAATATTTTAATGAAAAACAAGCAGCATTATTAGTTTCATCTAGTAATATATTTTTCTCCATTTTGATTAAAATAGGTACTTCACTATAGAAAATAAGCTTTCACTGTGTTGATGCAAAAATTTAGTTCATTTATAAAAAAATATTTTTTTCAAAGTAAAAAAATTCATGTCTGGAAACAGCTAGTGAGTTCTAAATTGTTTTTAAAATTGATGATCATAATTTTTAGAAATAATAAATAATTTTCTTCGCTGTTTTTTTTTTTTTATTTACAAAACGTAATATATATATTTTTAATTATAAAATGAATTTTAAGAAATACCTATACAAACTACTAAATACAACTAGTAGATATTTACTTCTTATAAATATTTGTATTATTTAATTGTATAAAAAGATATATGTTATGCATTTTTGTAAATCTGAATAGTTTATTTAAATTAATCTAAGTTTGATACATTATAGAGTTAAGTATCAATAATATGGCGAAAAAAACTAAGAAGAGATGGAACATTTTATTAATTAATAAAATTATGAAGTGAAGATTGAATGATACTATTTATATGTTATCAATCAGTGGCAAATACAGGAGGGGCCCCAGAGGCCTCCCCAGACCTCTTCAAAAGTTTTTTTATTTACACAAATTTGTGTAAATTTTTTTTCAATTTGTCAGAATAAAATATTATTGGAATGTCTATTGAGTCCAGTTCATTCAAGTATTTCCACAAACAAGAACCTATTTCAATTGCACCTTTATTTGCTTGTTCCTCATTTCAAACAAAACAATAACCATCTCTTGAAGAAATCTCATAAATAGTAAAATTGTATATACCTAATTTTCTTTTATAGTAAAACATGTTAACATCTCCACATGGGGTCTGTAATACCGCTTGTAAATCATAACAACATACTTTAAACATTCCTTCTCTTCCTTTAGCAGAATCTTTATACTTTTCTTCTCTACATTGTTCTTTAGCCAAGATGTGTGCATTATAATTTACACGACTTGTCTCTTTTTCTTCTGTGGTCTTATTTTCCCAACCCACACATATTGTGCATTGATCTTTTATTGGTTAAAAAAAATCCAATGTTGCGCTGATGATTAAATACATCATAATAAATATGTTGAAGTACATATTCTTTCCTATTTTGTTTTTTATTTATCACATACAATTTTTACATAGTACTCACTGATAAATGACCATCAATGTACTCTCTGAGTTTGTGCTCTTAAGTAGTGTGATGAGATTCTAGAAAAAGAATCAATATGTATTTATTAATACATCAAGTTTTAATTC